GCGCGAATGCTTAACCTACTGACGATTATTACACAATTGTTCATAAATGTTATTCAGAAAAAAATCACAGTGGAATATATTGAGAGAAAGAAAAAGAGAGTGACATCATTGCGCAATCTCAGAAAACTATGTTTTCATTATTATCATATAAATAGGAGGGAAATGATTCATTTACATGCAAGTAGTTATGTAAGATATTCATAAACTAAACTCAAAGTCATTGAACATAAAATTACTTCATACACATAACTTGGATACATATATATGAGCTATTTATCTATTTACAGATGAATTGAATAATTATTCAAACACGCAAGTTTCTTATTCACATGATTTCTAACATAGAAATTCGTACATTTATGTATTTTGATCAGAAGTTCGAAACAAAAACACAATAACTGAACATAATACTTCACTATCATATTAAACTATGATATCACCATTATTCAGAAGTAGTTGAAGTTAACTTGTGAAAATATTTTTTTTGAAAAACAAATTATCCTGTATTAGTTTACTTATGATATTCATTAAGATTCTTCCATCAGTCCACTTAGTAAAATAAGTTTATGTGGATAAGAAACCATATTATTATTTTTTTCACCAATTTTTTTTATCAAGTTATCTCAATGTGAAATAAATCGATTGAAGTAAGAAATGTTACGTAACTTTAACGTTTAAGACAATCGACTTGTTTATTTGTTAGTTTCTATTCAATAAAATAGTTATTGGGTTGATTCTAAAAAGAAATGTCTAGGTCAGAATCATACTCAACTATTATGGTCATTTATTACGTTATATGAACTGAGAAATACTTAAAAAGGAGTATTACATATTGAATTTATAAAAATTACTTGAAGTCACTTACACTAATGAATATATCACAGATAGTGATTGATAAAATTCGATTTGCACTAAACGATCAAACAAACATGACAATGGTCACTACTCAGCGTTCAACCAGTATATTTGGAATGGTAGTTGAGGTGATATATGCACGCACCAAAACAATGTAAAATTTCTTGAAAGTAACTTCTATGATAATCCATTTATGGTACATGAATAGTGTTGTAGTGAATGAGAACTCAGGTGGAGAAGACCAATTCATTTATTTTATTCGAACTTACAGAGTTCTTTCATAAAATGTGAAAACCATACATTAAAAAATTCATTTAGAAATTTTCATCAATTGTCCTTTACATCTTTCATGATTCTTCCAATTCTCGATTTCTTTCTGTTTCCTTCGGTTCAATTTTCCTAACCTTCTTTTCATAGGTATTCCATTTCTGGTCGGTGTTGCACAGTACTTATGTCAACAGACATAAGTAGCGTACACCACAATGATATTCAAATATTAGGTTCCATCATAATCTGGGTAAAAAACTACCAAATAAGAAAATTGATAATGAAAACTGAATGATTAAATAGAAAGCTAAGTCATAAACGCAAAATCAGATGTTGGTACTGATCAAAACAGGTTGCTTATAATGTTCTACTATACTAAGAAAATTGAATGATTCAAAGTAATTGGCACGAAGCTTTAAAACTTAAGTTTTGGGTAAGGTAGTATTCCCAATACGATATATTACGGTTGTTAAAAGCACTGATATTTATTAATGATATAATATTATCAGAATGGGTTTTGTGGAGATTTTAGAAATTTCACAGATTGAAATCATGAGTCAGTTGAAGCTAGACCACCATTGAAAACCTGGAAGCACTGGACGGCCGTTTCGTCCTAGTATGGGACTCCTCAGCAGTGCGCATCCACGACCCCGCACCACCCGGGGCTCGAACCCAGGACCTACTGGCTTCGCGCGCGAACACTTAACCATTAGACCACTGAGCCGGCATCCAACGGTGTTAATGTCTAACTTCAACCAATCCACGGTAGCGCAACTTCGTGGATTGGTTGAAGTTAGACATTAACACCGTTGGATGCCGGCTCAGTGGTCTAATGGTTAAGTGTTCGCGCGCGAAGCCAGTAGGTCCTGGGTTCGAGCCCCGGGTGGTGCGGGGTCGTGGATGCGCACTGCTGAGGAGTCCCATACTAGGACGAAACGGCCGTCCAGTGCTTCCAGGTTTTCAATGGTGGTCTAGCTTCAACTGACTCATGATTTCTATCTGTGAAATATAATATTAAGACAATAGATTATGTGAGAGTGTACAGTACAGTAAAACCTAAGGGTTTTAGATTAAGCCAGTTACACCAGTTTGTTAGATCAGTAACATGTTTGAATTGTGTAACCAATATTTCAGCACACTATACTCTTTTCAACTACAATCACTCGCACATCATAACATCTGTAATGTGAATATTAAATGTTTGATCGACAGTCAGCCTTGTATTAGGAGACAATTTGGTTAATGTTACCGATGCTACTATATAATTAGACTGAATAGTTATGAACCTGTAAGAATTATTGATGCAACGGGAAAATAGAGAAACGGATTCCTTGGATTATATTGGAGCTCGTACGATCAAGTCGTAATTGCAACAGCCGTTGTATTTCCTCTCTCTTTAGTTTGACTATTAATTGGATCACCTATATTACCAGTACGACCAGTGACCTATTTATCAGATGACATCAACCAATGAATAGCCACCGAGGCCTCGATGCTTATTTGTTCTCGAGCTGCTCCTTCCAACCAAATATTCAATCATCAGATAATCACAGAAAGCAGATCAGCTATCTATTCTACTCTTCTTTATGACTGAAAACACACAATAATATACCTGAATGAATGATCATACACCAACAAGGTTAGAAAATCACAATATGTACGTACCTTAGTCATAAGTAATAAAAAGCCGTAGTAATAGAGAAATAATTACCTACATGATGATTTATGGGTCAAAGGAAAAACTAGATATAAATTACACAATAAAAATACGTGTAATAGTCTTTCGTCTGACAGTCTTACAAGTTACACTTTCACACTACTCATCCCATTATATCAGTTACAATCGTTGGCAATTTGTTTTGTTGACTATACAAGCAGTACCATTAATGGAGATTTGAAAAGTTCCTAGGAGGTTATGTTTCTTTTTATAATGAACAGGTAAATTATAAGAACTACTTCACTCATATGGATACCTGACTTCTTGAGTGTAGACAATATGTAAACTTCGACTAATTAGCATAACGTGAGATATCAAAACCACAGCTTCATCTATAAGTATGACATTTGATCACTACTATTTTCAGAACGTAGGTCACATTTATCAAGATCAGAATGATGCCATTACTTAAGTTAGTAAAAAAGGTGATTAGTTTCTAGAATTTAGCTCGATTCAAGTAATAAACTTTGAAAGACACAGCCTGCACAGAAACCTCGGCAAGACCCTAGGTCCGAGTTCCATGTGGGGGATAGTGGATGCGCACCGCTGGGTAGTTCCATACCAGAACGAAACGGCCGTAGTGATCCCTGTTTTTCAATGGTCTAAGGTTGATGATCACAAAAAAACTTAGTAATCTCCACAACCCTATACTGATAGATACAAAATAGAGATGAAGAGTCTAAAGACTAATCAGTGCTACTCTTCTTTCTGGTGGAGTGAGTGAATACCCAAGGTTGATTCCTGTTGCATGTTTAACGATTTACATCAAGCCGTTAACTCATTTTTGTCATTTCTATAACTGTATGCTCAAATTAACATTTATCCATACTTCTAAAATGAAAAGCTAGTCAGAATAATGTGCACTGAATAATTAAATAGACTTTCAGATTACATTTTAAATTGAATATACCATATAAATCTGCGTTTTTTCCTGAATGGAAAATATAAAATGTATATACTATCAAAATAAACTTTACAGAACATTTTGGTGCACATGTGACTCAATATAATATACTTACAAACTCAGTAGCTCGCTTTATCGATTGAATTCTCACTAATCTACCTACGTAAATCTTGTCTAGTGGAATGCTGAGTCAGTTACTTGAATTGTAAACAATTATTATCTGTATGCTAGAGAATTGTGAATCGGTGTGAAAAACATCCACAAAAAGATAAATAGCTGTACACTACTCGTATAATAGGATAATAATCATTAATCCAGACGTTTATATTTGTGCTTGAGTATGCATGTCTATAATCCAAACAGATTAACATGTGAGAAGTATCATACTACCTTAAAAGTTAAGATGGTTGGAATGAACGACAGAATAATCGAATACAGCGACACTTGTTTGAGAGGACCATTTAAAAAACAAGGATGAAGTGCAGTTAAGGTACTAAAGGATAAGTTATAGGACTGAAGTTCCTAAATGCACACTAAAATATCTATAAAGATATGGATTGTATCTTAAGATGTAACTACCTCATATGAATTAAAAAATATGCAATAATAGTATCCACTGTTCTACAAAAGAATACATGAATCGAATGGTGACTTGTACACATTGTGACCAGTATTATACACAACTGATGGTAACGAATCAGAAGGAAAACCAGAGTCACGATATAGAACCTGTATGTACATCGATTCAACCTTTCATATTCTATTAGCACAAAGATGAAACTGCCAGGCCGAATCCCACAACAGTAGAGGTAGTAACAGTGTGAATGGCAGTAGAACGAATCAGGCATTTAGGATTCAAACTACTTTGGGCCATGTCATTCAAGGTCTGTAACTATAGGATACGATAATCACGCAGACCTCAATCAGGTAGTTTACACCTATTAACATGGCTCATTCCAACTTTCGATGGTTTCATGAACGGATGTTGTCTTAATCTGGCCGCCCCTACCTTTCTTATAGCCTACTCTTACATCAGACACCACCCGTCTAGAAAGGTGGTGGATAGGCATAAGTGACATGTCCCATACACCTCACTTGATGAAGATTCACTACTTAATCAATCGACTTGCCATATTTATCTAGTACTTTATTCATAACCTAAGCATTGTTTATCCTATGGTCAGAAGGGAAACCAATAAATCTGAGCTAAAGATAACGTTCAGATTGACATCGAAGGTCGAAGACAGAAAAGAACTATAGGTTGTGCAAATATATTTTTTTTTAAAAACGCATCTCAAGATAGAAAACATCATATCAATTTTAAATTAGTTTTGTTTGCAGAGAAGGCAGGCAGATAGCATAAATTTCAACAATTCTAACTGTTGACGGTTGGACGCAATATTTATAGAACAAAAAGGAAAGAACATATCTTAAGAAAAGTAATAAGTGCCATATTTAGAGTGATGTATTTGACTGCTGATAATGGTTGAAATATATATCATAATTAAACAAGCAATAACAAATATGTTGTTAGTTTTAACATTGATTTACAAATGGAGCAAAGGGCAAAATTTTTTTATAAAAATCCAATCAGAATCATCAAAAAAAACCAACAAAGTTAGAAAAAGTTTATTTCTATTTTTTTTAAAAAAATCGGAGGTTTGAAAACACCAAGGTTCGAAGTTTTAGAGACGCACCTTAGTGTAAAGGAATGAAAATTCTTCCGATACATAAAGCAACCATGATTATCAAGATAATAATACTTGTAGTGTTAGTTAATAGAGAATTGGAACAACTGCCATACACATTAACGTATATATATGCACGCGGAGTAAACAGGTTGGCTTTGGAAATTGTGATGTAGTGATGAGAAAAATAACACACCAGCCATAATAGTAGTATACCATAGATAAAGTGTATAGCTGTTCGTGCAAATTGTGTAACAGTGTATTTGTGTACTATGAGTTGCCCAAAATAGGTTAAAAATAGGAAAGTAAAACAAAACTTCCCCAGTGATATTTTGTGATAATAATAATGATAATAGTTTGTAGATAATAGAAAAAAATTCAATTGTCATTAGCTGAAGGCGTAGAAGCATTATTGTTGTGAGTAGCAACTGATCCACTGCTTCCAAAATCACTAGTCATAGAATCCAATTCATTCACTGAATTATGTTCATCTACTGTAACATCAGGTGAAAGTGTTGAAAGTACTGTCGGCAATTGACGATTTGGACGAGCCGTATTTCTAATAATGGGTGAAAAGAAGAATATAATGATGATAATTTAAAAAAATAATTTTGATATTTGTCAGTCAAATAAAACATAAAACCACAACAACGCTAAAACACTGAAAAAATTCAAATACATAATTTGTTACGTTGATAACGAATAATTTGTAAACTACACATATGCAAAGAGAGGGAGAAAATATCATTATTCCATGCAAAACGTTTCTCTATGTGAGAAGTAAACAAAGAAAGGGAATATCAATCACCAGAGAAAAGTAAAAAATCATACAGGATTTTAAACAGAAATACACAACACACCGGTAATAAAAAACATATCAAATCAGTTAGTCTTGATTACCGGAAAAAAACTTCAATAGGATGCTATTTATGTATGTGTATGCAGTAGTAAGAAAGGGCAGAGAGAATGTGTTGGAACCGCCGGAAAAAATCCTATGAACAACCATACAACATAATCACTATGAATTCTCGAAAGGGATGAAATTCAGTAAGTTTAACTACACATATGCATACGCCTTTCACGTTGATTGGGGTGTGGTGCTAAAATAATGCTTTTTTCTCTCTATCACGTCGACCCCCTTTCCCTCCCAATTTTTCTAGCGTAAAAACACAAATTAGGTGAATTCAGTTTTTTCTTCGAAAATGTTTTGCTTGTACTTTTTCCAATATAACAAGCACTAAAAATGTGTATGCATCAAACTAGATGATAAGGAAAGCTTAAACCGGAAAACATGTGTGTTCACGAAAAATTATATTTTATATGCTTCTCGCGGCTTTGATCAGGACCATCCTCACTGTCGGGTATTGTAATTCACCATAATTGTTCTCGCGGTTGTGTTGTTTCATTTTTGTTTTTGAAATAAGACTTTTTTTTAACAGGCCATTTGGTGTCAACGAGTTTTTTCATACCCAACACTGTTATATTATCTCCAAACGGTTCACATCATTTCGATGATGAATAAAAATTGTCAGGGTCTTTTTGCTACGATTACATACTTTTTTCCTTTATAACGTCACTATTTGCAGTATACACACAAACACCGTGAGAATAATGATAGTTATATTTTCCGTTATAATATTCAGTTACTGGTGCTGCCCATTATCTGTATATCTTTTACAAATATTTTTAAGTATTCGCCTATTTCCACCTATTCTGGTGTATGTCGTTTATTTCTTCTGAGATACCTATTGAAAGTAAACAGAATATACCTGTTGAAGATTGGTTCAGAGCAAAGTTCCTTTTTTTCAGCAAATTCATTTTCAAAGCTGTGTAATCGCAAATATATACTTATTTTTCAAGATGAAAACAATTACAATGATAGTGATAATAAAATTCTGTTAAACATGATAATAGTGAGGTAGAATAAGCAAATGTATTAGACCATTGTTTTTATCATGGAAAATAATAATAGATTTATTGTTAAGGGTTTGAACATTTCCTATCTATCGTCATGATGAGTATTCAAGCCCTCAACAATAAAACTACTATATATTTGCGATTGCACAGCTTCGAAAATGAATTTGCTGAAAAGAGAACTCTTCTATAAAACCAATATTTATTTTAATTAATGAAAGCCTGACAGTAGATAATCTATACTTTATTTTCTGTTAGAAGCACATCAACTATTCGAATAAATAAGTTCATATACTTTTAGAGTAAATGTTTCTTTTCATGCTATTAGATGAAAAATTGTTTACTACGAGTACAATACAAAAACAAATACAACAAGGTATATACATTGTTTAAATGGTGTACACTTCCATTCTTCCATTTGAATAAACATAAAGCATACCAGAACCAATATCTATTTCTTCTTGATGCGATAGTGTTTTCTTATTACTGTTAACGATCAGTTGTTTACGCCCCTTCAGGTTATCACTTCTTTTCAACCAACAAAAAAATATTATTATTCACATATAACGTTTGTGTAGCTGTGAAATTTTTCTCTATATTTAAATTGGCAAAAAACCCACTCAACTTGATGATGAACTCGTTTCTACTTGTCAATTAAATCAATCTACATTTACTGTATTATTATTATAAAACGTTATCCTAAAAGTTTACCCTCTTCTGCTTTTAATACTTGGGGTCACATTCAGTAAACTGTTAAAATAAATATACTTAAAAATATAACAGACGTACCGACTAAGTTTACGAAGATTTTGTAGATCTCGTTCAATGGTTCGTTTAGCTTCCATTACTTCTTCCAAATCTCTTTGGAGGCGGCGACATCTTGCATTGATTCTAGCGTTCTCTTCTTCAAGACCTGCAATTTCTCGTTTATTTTGTTTACATGAAGATTGAGCTTTTTCAAAAGATTCCTTCAATGCTTCTGCACATCGTCTCAAATCATCATTCTATGCAGTTTGATAAGTCAGACAACATTTACCGGAAAATATTACATACATATATAGAATAAATAATAATCATAAAAATGATTAATTAAGGTAAAGTAATAAACATATTCTAGTTAAAACAACACAAAATCAATAGTAATTTCAAATATCGACTGAATACTGATATTTACTAAACAATGCGGTTATCATTATCATTCCGTGAATTCAGTGCACACATAACCTAATTAAGATAAACACCTACAGATATTTAAAGCTAAACAATTGATGTTTCAAAATATCGTCAGCATTTAGATTTCTTTGGTAATTGTTACTTATAATTTTACACATCAACCGTTAGAATTAATTCAAATATGAATGACAATAATTTAGTGACTTCAAGCACTGATGCCACGTTTTGGTTTGGCCGCCCCTAATTCTCTTCCAACCATCTCTAACACCGGTTAGCATTGTACGTCGTGGTAATCGGTGTTCAGGCATACGTAACACGTGGCCTAACCATCTCAGTCGATAAAGATTAACAACCTCAACTGATTTACCATCATTCCCTAATACCCTGCGTCTAACCTCACTATTACCTACCCGGTGATCCCAACAGACGCCAGCAATATTTCTAAGGCATCTGTGGTCAAATACTAGTAGCTTACGAGTGTCTTCAACTCTTAAAGGCCATGTTTCGCTGCCGTAAATTAAAACAGAACGAACTGTCGCGCAGTATACTCGTCCTTTTATTGATAGACGGATATCTCGACTTCGCCAAAGGTGACGTAAGTTGGCAAAAGCCGAACGAGCTTTTCGAATCCGTGCTGAGATTTCGTCCGATACCAACCCATTAGGGCTGATCACACTTCCAAGATAGATGAAGTTGTCGACACGTTCGACCACTTCACTCCCTATCCTTAGTTCAGGTGTTGACACAGGCCAGTCCTGAAGCAACAACTTGCATTTAGAGGGAGAGAAGCGCATTCCAAACATTCTGGCATTGTTGCTTAGTGCTGCCAGAAGACTCTGCATTTTGTCAGCGTCTTCACCAAACAGGACTATGTCATCTGCGTATTCTAAGTCGATAAGTGGACCTCCTGGTAGGAGATCAATACCCGAGAATTCAGTCGACGATAAAGTTATTTCCATCAGTAGGTCTATGATGAAGTTAAACAGAAATGGAGAAAGTGGACAGCCTTGACGGACACCACTTGAGGTTGCAAAACTAGATGACAGTTCGCCATAAGCCCTGACGCGACTAGTAGTGTTCGAGTAAAGAGCCTTTACAAGGTTTATGTACTTCTGGGGTACGCCTTTCAATGACAGACACTGCCACAGAATCTCGCAGTCTGCCGAGTCAAATGCTGCTTTTAAGTCAAGAAAGACCACCATTGTCGGACGTCTAACAGCACTCAAGGATAAGTGTAGTAAACATATGATTAATATAGAAAAGAACAAATTGATGTTATTCTCCACTTTCCCCAAAATGCTCTTGGACAGTAGAGGGTGAGGAGATTCCGCTCTCTTTCCTGAAATGCTATCATATGGCCACGCGAATACAGTCGCTGACAGGCGGAGTGTTGTTTACTAAATTGAGAGGATCGAATGTCCGGTGCTTTAACCGGGTTGGTGGATACGAAAAATCCACAAAACCCTGATTCCAAAACAGTGGTCATATGGGCTCTAGGATCCCGAGAGAACAAATGGTGCATGAACCTATCGTTGATCACTGGTTACTATGGGATCGCCTCTCAACGCTGCTCCGCCGCCTTATGAATTAGACCTCTAGATGAAAGGCTCGGGGAATGACCACCTAAGAAAACCACCTGCTTTAGTTTGGGCGCCTGGACAGTATTCAGGCCTTCATAAATATCGAATGATTTGCGTGACAAATATGTAATTGGTGCATCCTTGTACCAACGTTTGTGTTTAAATGCATAAATAAATTACTCTGTTAGATGTACCATATAATTTTTATAGGACGATATTTTATTAGTACAAATCCTAACGATGAATCCATAGTATCTTCAACAGATAACTTGTAGATTTCATCATCGAAGGAGGATTATTTGCTTAAGGCATGACATAAAGGAAGTTGTTTTAAATAATAATGGTGGGATGGAAGTAACTAGTACATTTCACTTGATAAATAATCATCCAAGTAAATATAAATGAGAAAATCTTCTATGAATCAAATATTAAGTAGCGTTCTGACAAATGGACTAGTAATTTACTGCATAGATTCACAAGTTACATATATATACGCATAAGAATGTGATAAATGTTGAAATGAAATAACTAAGATGTAGTCTCATAAGTTTTTAAGATAAATACCGGTAATAAAATAAGAAAAGTAAAGAGAAAACACTAACTTGGAGGATTAAATCTTTGCATTTCTTTTCAGCTCTGCGGAAATTTTTATTTGCATTTAACTTCTCTAGTTTTTCTGCTTCTAGCTGCTCATCTAAGGTTGTCAAACGAGCTTCTAATGTTGCAATTTGAGCTTTACCACGACGACCTCCTTCTTTTTCAGCTTCAACTAGCCTATCGCGTAATTCTTTCACCTAAAATTCCATAGGCGAACAAGAAATGAAACCATAATTGTGGGAAGTCAAAAATTAGTTTGTTGAATGTGATATAACAATTAACAACTTTAAAGAACGTACCTGTTTTTCAAGAGAGACTCTCTGACACTCTGAACGTAAGAAGTTATTCTTCTCGACGCTTAAATCTGTCTGAGCTTGTTCCATTTGACAGTAGACTCGTTTGTGGCGCTCTTCTGTAGCATCCATGGCACTTTGTATTTCTTCCAGTTGGTCCTCTAAGGCAGTAATACGAGCTTCTAAACGCTTCTTTTCTTCCAGTGCTAAAGTTCTAAAGAATATATGAGGTAATTGCTTTTAGCCGTAATATAAAATAAAAATCAACACATAAAATTGATAATATTGGAACAAATAAGCAACTTACTTGGCATTATTCGCAATAGATAACTCCTCCAAAGCTTCATTTAAATCACTCTTTAGATTACGACAAGTTCTTTCACTTACACCTAAATCTTCTTGAAGTCGAGCTTTATCTGCATCCAGCATACGATATTTCTTGTCCAATTCTCGTGCAGAATCTATAGCTTGATCACGAGCACGGGCAGCATCTTCAAGTTCACGCTGAATGCCACCAGTAACACCTTGGTATTTTTTCAATTGTTTTACAGCTTCTTCTTTTTGTCGATTCGCTAATTCAAAGCGTTGACTAATATCTGCAAGATCAGTTTCCAATTTTTTGCGAACATTAAGATGACTAGCACGCTCTCTTTGTTCTTCTTCTAATTCAGTTTCAAGTTCTCTTATACGTTTAAGAGATTGACGTCTTTGTTCTTCGAACAAGTCATCGCGAGACGCCAATTCTCGTTCTAGTTGAGTGCGAACAGCATTCATTTGAACCTATCGAATGAAAAATAAACGAAGTTCCTCACCATGAAACAATATACATAAATTTAATGCTATGGAAAAGGTGAAAACATTGATTGAATCAACTAACCTCTGCACGTTGTTTCTCCATGGTAAATGTCGAGATCTCATCTTCTAGTTCTTCTATTTGTTGTTGAGTTTCTTTTAATCGTTCATTTAGACGATAGTTCGTTTGTTCCAACCCTACTAAACTCTTACCAGCATCATCCCCATGAGAACCAAGTTCTTCTAATTCACGAGCGAGTAATGAACGCTCGCGTTCTGACTCTTCTAGCTGTTCTTTAAGCTTCTCCATTTCATTCTTTTGTGTGAATAATTTTGTGTCTTTTTCAAGCATTTCTTGATAAAATGTATCTTTTTGAGCCTGAAAACTATTAAGTTGATTAACAGTTTCTGCATGAGTTGATTCTAATTTCTTGATTCGACGTTCATTATTAGCTTGATCAGATCGTTGACTAGCCATGACATGATTCATATCTTCAAGCTGAAAAAAAGATTTGTATAATAATCATAACTAAGCAAAGAGTAAAAAAAAGTATTTGTTTATGATTGAAAGATTCAGTTTAGAATCATAATTTCATGCGAAAAAGGCCATAATGAAAGACTTGTTTTTTTTTCAAAATCAGTTGCAAATTAAACTACAAGCAGACAATATTTTGTTGATTTTGATTTACCGATGTCTTTCTTTTATTGATACTCTACATAATCAATGGGAATTAACAAAAACTAATAAAAATGTTTGAAAGTATTGTCTAATATAGTTAGTTAGCTAGCAAGACTACTGACGAAAAAAGTGAAGCCATTTTTAATCGTTAGATCAATAAAAGATATTGAACTCATCGGCTTAGAGATCTGACTGGGCGGTCAGTGAAGGAATAAAAAATGCATCAACGACTTATGTATATAATACTTGACAAATAAAATAAAACTAAGGCAGTTAGTTCTTGTAGCTTGGTTGATCGGTAGTAGGATAAAAAATTTTAGATCAGTTTGTTCAAAAATTTGAAGGGATTCTGAACAAAAATAAGATTTTCAAATATAGTTGGAGCAATGAATGTTCGTTTTTCCACCCCATCAAGTTATGTAACATACTATTAGCGTGAAATGTACACCTTATATATTCACATACTAATTATAGTAATGTAGATAAGAATAACGCTATTCAACATCACCGAAGCTGTAAGTTACGACACTTATGTAAATAGAACACTACTGGTTGAAATTAAACTTATCACCATAAACCGTATAGTTGAAACCAGATCAATTGTTGCTAGAGTTGGGAAGTAACATAACAGCTTACTTCACTTTGTAATTTCTTGCGTGACTTCTCTAACTTTTCAACTTGTGAAACAAGTTCTTCATTACGATTCCGGGTATCATCCAATTCGCGTTGAAGTTTTTTGCGTGCATCTTCCAAGGTTTCCAAATAATTTGAATCTTCCTCCACTTTTTTCTTTGCATCCTGCATCTATAAATTTAGAAAATTTCATACAGCGAATGAAATTTTAGTTAAACAATATGGAGATTAATTGAGTAAGTAAAGGATATGAGATAGGAATAAGAAAAGAGGACAAATAGTATGAACTTAGGTATTGTAACCTGTGACATAGGATGAGATGATTTCCAAGTTAAATAGAAAATTTACAATAAAATTCATTTCAATTTGATCAATATTAGTGAGCTGCAATACTTACTAATAGCTCAATATGCCTTAAATATTATAACTATCAAGACGTACAAACCAAATGAGTAGATTTACACAGAAAGAATAAGCATAATTGAGTCGTCCCTGAAAATTAGCTTGTTCCACTGATTTTCTCTGAATGAAGTACATGTTTTCCATTTCATGGGCAAAAATGCCCAAAGATAGCCCGAGTTCTTATAAGTATGCCCGTAATTAGAATAAATCCCATATATTAAATGGATTATAAAGCGATTTATAATCAACACATGAGTTATATATTTAAAGCCGTTCTAAAAAACATCGCATGGAAAAAAGGGTAACAACCTGAGTAGTAAGTGCTATAACATGTTTCTCTAGGGCAGTTTTGGCTTGTTCTTCAGCATCAAGTGAATCCTTTACTGTTTCTCTTTCATCCTCTACTTGACGTAACTGTAACTGTAAGCTTAATTTTGCCTGAGTTTCTTCTTCTAAACGTGCACGTAAATGATTGAGCTCAGATTGTGCAGAGGTTTCAGAACGCGAGACCTTGCCTAATTTAGTTTCGATTTCTTCCATCGCATTATTCAAACCTTCAATTTCATTCAATGCTTTAGTGAGTCTGGACTCTAAATCATTACGTTGCATTTCTGTTTCTTGCATTTTGACTAAACTTTCATTTAGTTGCTGTTCAACTTGACGACGACGTTTGTCAATTTCCGTTCTAGAAATAAAAAGTGATGTAAAGTGGAAAAGCAGTAGAAAATTTGTGAACTAAAAGTATACACGGTTGAATTAATTAAAACTAAAAAAATTAGATTACCATGAGAGCTTAAGTTTTTCTGTCGCTGATAAACTTAAATATGGATTTCTGTCATCCAAATTTAATGAATTACAATAAGGGAAAAATAGTTAATTTCAGGAGACTATAGGGGTTTATCAACTAGTCATAGGTATCATAATATCTGGGAATATATATGGATTGGCCCAATTTTTCACACCATGTAAGCACATAAATATAAAAAATTCAGATGATAAGATTAATAGTATTGGTAGTAATAATATCTAATAATATAATAAGTTAGAAAAAAATAACAGGATTTGATATAAAAATTAACACGTAGAATTAAAAGTGCAAAACGACTTTAAGACGTAAGTCACAATGAAAACAAAGAGTGAATACCTCAGTACCAATGTGGTGTGCTACTGACGTCGACAGATATAGGTAGTATGTATTACCAATCGAAAGTGAAATGCCTAGAGGCAGAAGTTTATGAAGATCGAAGAAAAGAGAACGAGAACAGACAACGACTGATGTGTAAATGAAGGAACAATAAGGTATGAGACGGTTGATTGATATTTTGCAAATGAAGTATTTATTGTATGCTTTTCAGATTTTACTAAGATATTCTGTAATGTTATAATAAAATAGATTCGATCGTTCCCCACTTGTGTCCTTGTTCACTACACCATTATGACTGATTCTGAGACATGTCAACCAAAGTCTTGAACCATTGGTCATGATAATGGTATGTACTCCAATCGGGTTAAATCTGCACCGATTAATCTGGTTTATTTTAACAATCAATAACTTCATGAACTGATATCATGTATATACAAAAACCATGTATGGTTTTTTAAACCAAAATATGCCGGTATATCATTTATGTTTGACTATAGCTATAAACGTCTATCCTTAGGGGCGATGCCAATATGAACTAGTGAATGAATGTGTTTGACCGATGAGATTGCGTCATGAATACTATTATTGATACTAACTAATATGATTAATATATTAGTTTTCAAAAAAAGTGACGAACGACAACTTCGCTTCGTGATGTACCAAATATAACATAATTATAAATATCAAAGAATAAAGGTCAGTGATAATTATGCCATAATGAATTGACTTCATTTAAATGAATGATTTAAAATTCATGAGAAAACTACAGAAAATGACGAATAAAAAAGTCATACATGCACATAACCTAATCATAGTAGGACAAATATTCTATGGTTGAACTCCTGAGTCGATTTAAGCTAGACCACCATGGAAAACCTGGAAGAACTATTTCGTCCTAGTATGTGTTCGAGTCTCGTGTGTGGGATCGTGAATGCGTGCTGCTGAGGGGTCCCATACTAGGATCGAACTGCCGTCCAGTTCTTACAGGTTTTTCATGGTAGTCTAGCTTAAATCGATTTATGAATTCAACCATTAAATTACTAAACTTTCCACAAACCCCCATTCTGAAAATATTCAATGACTTATTTTGACACATACACATACAAAAAAAGATGAAAACCAATACAACAGACTATTGGGTATTTTTATGTACAATATATATATATATATATATATATATATATATATATATATATATACTCACTTGACTTGTTTAAGGCTTTGAATTTGTTTCTGTAATGCATTAGTTGTTGAATCTTGTTGGACTTTTGATCTTTCTAAAGAAACTTTACTTTTTTTAAGTTGTTCAATTTGATCGTTTAATGTTTCTAGAGTTGCGGCATGAGATTTGCGCATTTCTTGAATAGTAGCTTCATGTGCGCTGAATGAATATATTACATGGGAAACAAATGAACAAAACTAAATAATGAAGAAATTAAGGTAATAAAGTATTATGACAAGAGATTGAATAACAATTATGATTTAATGTTGCACAAAATTACGCTCATTTAATAAGGTGTCATTCAAGTGACTGAATATTTTCCTATTTAGTGAAGCTATAAAAACTGATCTATTGCCAACAGGTTGTGCATTGATTTGAAATAACAACTAGATAAATGTATTATTAAGATGGATAAGAAACGTGTTATTAGCTATGCATATACAGACTGAACAAAATATAAAGTCACTGAATATGGAGTATACATTAAACAATGAAGAAATTATGTTGGTCAAACAACGTAATTATTGCATAAAGACATTAGATATAAACACCTAGTATCAATATGGAAGACTTGAAACCATAACATCATAGTCTTCTACTGACTGTCTAGTTAACTAATCAGTTATAGTTGACGACTATTTACAATTTAATGTGAGTAGGATTTTATAGAACACGATTCTATTAGAAAGTATGCTTTTAAATCTTTTATATTTAACTGAGCAAACAATGAATCAATATACTTTCCTATCCAAGTGTAAGGCTAACAGCAGTCTTCTGTTTAGAAGAACGTAACATTGTCGATCTCAGTACAAGTTCTGAGAAATGCTTTTGTTTATCACTTGGTAGTATTTAGATATGAATTTTCCCCAATGTCCTTCAGACGACTTGTATAAGTGTTTTAACTAATCGTTACACACAAGTGGTTGCATATGTTGCTTGGAAACAGTACTACATACTTTGACTGAGCTTCAAGCTGATGACGTAGGTTGGATAAATCAGATTCATATTTTCGGAGAGCTTGAGTTTGTGCCTCGCTGTTTGTTCCACTGTCAATGAGTTCTAATCTCATCGCCTCCACTTCTTCCGTCAGATCTCTTTTAGCTTCATCAGCTTTGTCACGAGCCATTCGTTCAGCTTCTAAGTCTTCTTTGAGTTCTTGAATATGTGATTTATATTCTCGTACTGATTTTTGTGCCACAGCTTTGTCAACAATCTCTTCATCTAATCGATTTTGTAATTGAGCAACTTCTGCCTCAAGTTTAGCCACTGTGGCTCGGAGCTCCTCAACAATCCTTGACGATTCCGATGCTTGATCTAGACGTTCGGAAGCCTCAGTTTCAAGTCGTCTTTTTGCCACTTCGATATCTTGACGAGATTTTTGTTCACGGACAAGTTTATCCTGAAGTTCATTAAGGTTACTTTCATATTTACTTTTAAGTTTAGTTAATTGTTTACTACGCTCTTCTTCTTCTGCTAACTGACTAGTTAACAAATTTATTCGATCAGTCAACTGCTTTTTGTCTTTAACAAGTTTATTATATTTATCTTCAATGTTAACATAGCCATCGTTAAGTTGAGAAACTTTTTGTTCGATAGATGTCTTTTCAACTTGTAATTTTTGGCGTTGTTGTTCTTCCAATTCTAACTGATCTGATAAATCTGATATCTGTTAAATACAAATCAAAAATTAAATAAATAATAATATAATAGAAATAAAAATATATACAGTATATATACTACATCGAAAAATGCATGAGAATACAACTTTGAAATTCGTTCCATGAATTACGGGCAAGCTTTTTTGACTTAGTGAATTAAGAACAGTTGAACAATCGCTGTGAATCTAAACATCTTATACACATGTATTTCGGTAGTTTAACAGTAAATATAGTGACCAATGAATTTGAAAATACTATAGTAAAAATACTTATATGTACGTGCGAATGAGCGGTACTAGAATGGGAAAAAGTAATCCATTAGTGGGATGTGTTTTTGTGAATTTAACTCTGATAGATTGAGATTGCTTTATAGAGAATTAAGTTGAAGCCTTAGTTATATAGCCCTGAGAACTAGAAAGCATTGGACAGATATTTTGTCTTGGTTTAGATTCCTCAATATTCTGCATCCACGACCCCAGAATAGATCGGACCAAGAGCCTTCAGGTTTGAAAGCTTAAGATTCGGAAACAAAAATAATATTACTACAATGACATAACTTGAAGAAAACGTGCAAAATGAACAACAGAAGACAAGTCTCAATCAATTAGTAAGAAATTGACAAATACATGAGGAAATGTCAGTTCATGACATTTAAAAATGAAGGGGATAGAACGTAAGCCATACCAGAAAATACGTATATATACGAATAACAAAAACTGGTGACGAAAAAATGCTAATAACTCACGGAATATAATAAAATCTAAGCAGTACATATATGAATTTAATTAACTAAATTCGACATAATTAATTAACTAATTACTGGGTCATGTACCATCGAACTACAAGCTAAATTTTATGTGAAAAGACTAGTAGTACAATCCGACTACTTCCCAAACCGAAGGTGGTTCCTAGCTATTAAAGGTGGAGTATTTTAACCGTTCCATTATCGAATATACATTTCAAAGAGATGATCAGAATAAAAGAATCCATGAGAATTTACCTGTTCTAACAGACGTTTTTGTTCAGCTTCCAGGTTATGTAATTTTAATTTTTCTTCACTATCTCTATTCTCAAGTTCCATATAGTCTTCTTCTAAAGTTTGTAATTTTTCGCGTAGACGATCACGCTCCTACATAACACCACAAAGAAAAGAAAAGGTCTCTTTTAGTGAATTATCGAAAACATCCTAATGATATAAAAAGATATTTGATCGAAGATATTATCTGATACGCACACACAAAAACTTACTGTCTGTAAATTTTGATTTGAATCGTGTTCTTGTTGTAATTCAGCATTTAGCTGGACTTTCTCATTGCTTAACTTTTCGTAGGATCTTTGCAATTCATTAAGCTCATTGACAACTCTTTCCATTTGTTCACGAATCTAAAATAAAACAATATCAAAGAAATACATGTAGATCAATAATATATTTGTAATATCCCAATGAGTAGAAAAATTAGATTTTCTGACGTTTCGTGACTTAGTGCAAGTCGCTTCTTCAGAAAATAAATAAAAAAGACAAAACGATTATCATCACAAAAGCCGACAAAGGCAACACAACAGTAGTCATGAATGAAACAGATTATATTAATAAAGCTCTTGAACATCTCTCAACAGGACTATATGAAAAGATCAATCCGAAAAATTCTCTAACGATGAAAATTAAAGTCAAATCAGAAACAAGTCAACTTTTGAACGAGCTAAAACCAGTCATTGGTGTCTCGCTTTGGTTTGCTCTGCATCCGAAATCATGTAATGTTTCATGGTTTTATGGTTTACTGAAAATTCATAAACCAGATATCCCTTCAAGACCGATAGTAGACTTTACCAACACACCAACATATGTGTTATCGAAATATCTAAGCAACATAATAACCACTACAGCTTAACTTACATAATATGATTAAAGATACATATGACTTTAAATTAAAATTATTGGAATTAATTATCGAGAAGAATGTGATCATGGTAAGCTTTGATGTCCTTTCTTTATACACCAGTATTCCCATTGATAAATGCTTAGAATTCATTAGTGGTTTACTTGAGAACGACAATACTCTTTCTGACAGATGTCCGTTGAGCATCAGTCTAATCATGAGATCCTTAAAACTCTACTTAAATTCGACTCTATTCACTTTTAACGGGATGTTATACAGACAAACTAACGGTGTAGCAATGGGATCTCCCGTGTCCCCGATTGTAGCCACAATTGCATGGCACACATAGAATCAAATATCTTCGCCTACGACATTATACCACGAATTTGACTTAGATATGTAGATGATACATTTGTTATTATAAAAAAGACTCATCTAAGATCTTTTACAAAACCAATAAATACACTTTCATCGCACATCAAATTCACGAATGAAAATGAAAATGAACATGGTGAGCTACCATTCTTAGATTGCTTAGTGAAAAGAAATCTAAATGGAATTATAAATCTATCCATCTGCTGAAAACCTACACACTCTAGTCGCTATATTGACTTTCATTCAGCACATCCTTTCAGTGCCAAGATCTCGCTAGCCTTAAATCTTTTTAGAAGAGCTAACAAGATCATCACATCAGAAGGAGACAAACAAAAAGAACAAAAGAATGTAATTAGTATCTTACAATTTAATAATTTTCCTATGAAGATTATCCGAAGTATATTAAAAGAAGACAGATTAGTGCATTATAATAATGATTCGAATGAAATGCCATGGATTGGTACTGCAGTTTTACCATACAGTCATGGCACAACAGAAGAACTCCAAAGAATCTTAAAACAACATAGAATTAAAGTGTATTACAAAACAACGGACACACTTCGAAATACTTTAGTTCGCCTGAAAGACAAAATCTTTTTCATGTCCACACAGAACTGCGTCTACAAATTAGGTTGTATCGATTGTGATGCCTATTATATTGGAGAATCGTCCCGCGAAATCTTAACTAGAGCCAAAGAACATATTAGGTACACAAAGAAACCTCCTAACAATCCTGTAGAATTCAATAAACTTCAAATTTAAATCGGCAATAGCAGTTCATGCCATTTTCAACAACCACCAAATCAATTTTAAAAAATATCAAAATATTGCAAAAAGGCTTTTCCAATTACAAAGAAAGGAGAGTAGCTGAAGCATTCCATATAATGCTTAATCCTACTCCTCTTAATAGAAAAGAAGGCCTTACCATAAATACTACTTAGACTATCTATCCTAGCCATTCAGTCTGATCGTATTTACAATTCACACTATCATCTTACAAATTAAACTCTATCCTTTCTCACCATAAATGTTACACAATTTTTCATCCTTAAACAGTGCACACATACATACTCACAAATTTACATACATGTCACTTATGAATCCTGAGTGCTGTTAGAGGTATGAGGGCGGTTATCACCTCCCGATTGCCCAAACCGTGGAAGGGTTCTTCTGGAGGCACATGAAAAGGAAATTGGATTAGAGGTGGTCTTGGTGACCTGAGAGCGTGACCGCAGTGCCCAAGGGACAACTACTTCAGGTCGGTCACACAAGACCCTTTTATGAGTAATTTTTTGTTAGCTCCGTACTTGTTGAGACCTTACTGCTGGAGACAGACATCCGTGGGATAAGGTGGTGTGTATTTTTAGGGTCGACCTTTTCTAACCCCAGCCCTTCTTGTGGGAAGGCAGCATAGCTGTCATGCTGGTTGTCTGAAGGAAACACCTTACTGCCGTTATACCTCCGTACAGCCAGCAGTACGACTTCGCCTTCGGATCTTGAGTTTGTTGCTTTTAGTCTTACCGCTCTTCAACCGACCTGTCTGACATCGTAGGACCTTCAGGAACAGTTGTTCCAGCCAGTATAGCTCGGTTGTTTCATCATGATAGGCAAGCCCGACCAACACGTCAAGGTAGCAACAACGAAATGACATGATATTAACTTGTTCAGACCTGTTTTTGATTGATCACATATTCTTATTTTTCTGTTGTACTATTTAAACTTGGATTAATTTTAATTTGGTTATTTATTCTCTGAAGAAGTGACTTGCACTAAGTCACGAAACGTCAGAAAATCTAATTTTTCTACTCATTGGGATATTACAAATATATTATTTATTTATTTATAACAATTTACACAATGCTCAATCTATTTGAAATTATCAAATCAAACCTTGGCAATGATACCTAGAAGAATAAATGTAGAGATTTCTATTAGATCCGATAAAATATTAGGTAAATAAATATGAACCTGGTCACATATCGTCATATTCTTTTCCGAAATAAACCAATTAGATATTGATTAACAAGCTTAGTAATAGGACATTTAATTCACTTAATCTTAAAACAAATTATGAAAGACTACCTCAGCATCTGACGATCATAAAAGGTTGATGGAGGGAATGCTAACTCCGATCTAATAAAGTAATGACTGCATAGTCTGAAGATCGTACGAAGAGGACAGGTTTATAGAAATTTCAAACATTTATGAACTGGAGTATGAAATACAGTTGTGAAGGGCAAATACAAAAAAAATACTTTGTACTTTGAGAATTTATTTTTTCTTCTTGAATATTTTTTACCATAATTAATATTACCACTTCGGTATTCATATTGTCATATCACCTTGCAGTCCTTACTTAGTGTACAAACTTGAACTGATGAATATCTGTGCCAGGTTATTTCGTTGGTATGACTGACTGCAAACAGATACATAATTGGATTTGATTAGAACTTCAAGGTTGAAATAAGATGCGATGGAATTTAAAAACGACTATACACCATTACTTTTAAAACGAAACTATAAGCTTGTATCCAAAATGATATTCACACTAACCTTCCGAAGCTCTTCTTCTTTAACAGCGACCAAATCTTCTTGGCGAGTAACAGTAAGAAGTGGTCTAACTTTTGTAAACAAACGCCACCAGGGCCAATTTCTCAGTTTAAGGTAAGCATCACAATTCCTTTGGATTATTTTGCTAGCTTGAATGTTTTGTATGCGTTGTTCCTTAGCTCTGTAGAAAACAGAAAAAACGAAACCCATAAAGAATATAAACCAGTTAGATATATACGGAGAGCGTTAATAACAGATACCAAAAGAGACTAGATGAAACATTTGAAACAGACAATTGTACTTTCTGTTTACACAGAAATGTATAGATATATATACAATGAAATATTGCACTGCGGATTTTGATGAAAGTTTCAATATCAGAAGAATGATAGTTTTTGATTGCTTCAAGTTCGATTAAAAACTGACAGTTAAAGTCCCAGATTCATACTAGTGCCTACAAAATAAGAAACCTAAGGTCTGCTGTGTCCAAAGAGCAAAGATAAAACTTATTCGACGCACAGAAACGGAATCAATGATCAAACAACGAAAGGATATTAGCTTAAAATCGTAAGACATGACGAAAAACATAAACTGACAAAGTGATCAATTAACAAACTTACCGTCGGGCTAGATAACCACGAACATATGCTTGGAATTTAATGATCGAGTTAGTCAAGTGTATATCACGGTCTTCTTCTAACTGAGCCAGAACACCAACTTTGAAAAATATTTTACCATGACCAATGCAGTAGACGTCTTGACTTAAGTCGAGAGCCTTCAACATCTCAGTAACGGCTTTACGACCATCCATAAATCCCTGGGATTGGATAAAGAAAGGCCATTTTATTTTAAAATGTAACGTGAATTTATCAGGTTTTCAAGAAACATCAATTCATTTATCAATCAAGATTTTGTAAGATTAGTTTTGAGATAACTTTTTGTGGAGGCTATTGACACTAATTGGCAACCCGAAACGAAGCGCATGGGACGGCATTCGAAGTCATAGCCTACTGATTGAAAGTTGAGTGTCTTAATGATCGTTTCATCCATGATCACTTTATTTGACATGCTAAGAATATTTAATTTTTCAGTTCGAAATAACAATGATTTTTAAATCCATGTGATGTGAAGTGCAGAAAAATAATTTCCTTACGAAGTCGTGTATGTATACAGTAAGACATCACACAGTATTTAAATGAAGCTTAATTTTTCAATTTTCAGAAACCAAATGAATATTTTAACAAAAACCTACACTTAATCATGCATATTGGCATTGGTTAGTACATACATGAAAATAGGTTAAGAAGGACAGCTTAAGCAATAATGACTGCTTAACCAACAATAATGAAAGCAAATTAGACAGCAGAAGCTTGGTTTTTATGAGATCTATAAAAAGTTGGAATACAGAGTGAGCAGTGTGCAAACCGGCTTAATATAGAGAATACTAAATTAACGCTAATACTGCATGAAAATTAAAAGATAAATTAGACTTATGAATAGATTGTTTAGAAATATGTGACGTCTTTGTATGATTTGTACAAATGAGGAATACTTCTTGACTTAAAAAAAGCAGTGTTACAAACCACAAATTGTTTGTACATGAAAGTGGATTTTTAGTCACGAAATAGGATGCACTTCTTTTATCCAGTTGAAAAGCTATTCTTAATTACTGAAATTGGCATTCCAAACGAAACTAGAAATGATCAAAAAACTGACGGGCTTTTGAACAACTGATAGATAATAAATAAAAAAACTTACTGACAACAGAAAATATGATATTTATTTAAAATAGTACTGACCTTTGGGATAACATTTGGAGTTAAAATTTCATATCTTTGCCTGAATTCCTGGAAAAGAATACGCGAGGGGAAACCACGACGACAAATCCTTATGCCCTCCAACACACCATTACATCTAAGTTGTTCCAAAACTAAAGGACCATCAATTCGCCCTGGCTTTTTTTCATGATTTGGAATGATACAACGGATAAAGTTTGGAGATGTATTTTTCAATACAGTCATCAAACGTATAAGTGAATCTTTGTAGAGTTGACTTACAGTACGGAACATTCCCCTTCTAACACTACGAGCAGAACCGAAAGCGGTGTCGGTCGTAGTAGTGGCTGACATGCTTACAATTTCGGCATCTTTCCACATAGCCTGACAAAAAATAAGACATATGAACAATAACAACCGAAATCTTACTGTAAAGCGATTTACAGAAAGCTTATAAATGCTGTTGAGACAGCTTATGACAGCATATGGACAAAATTTTGAATACGACCTAGAATTAGATCGATTAACCAAGATAAAAGTCATAATTCTTTAGAAACAGTTGTTGTCTAATTTACATGATCAGTGAAATAATCAAGCAGGAAGAACTCATTGAAAAACGACCCAACTAGTATCAATAAAAACTTATTGAAACTCCTATCGATTTTATTACTGTGATCACTTAAAAATTCAGTCTCCACGAGTGTAATAAAGCTCATATCACCGCTGATTTGTTACACATTTATTGCATTAAAACACACAATATTAAGCAAAAGTTTAAAAGAAGCACTTAATTTAGAGATTATTATGCAAACTAACTGATGTTTGCAGTTTACTCTGGTTTAATTCGTATTCTGCTACTATTAATACTAAAAATTCGAATTTTCAAATCAACTGCCTGATATCAAACGTTTACATGCTTGTAAAACATGTAAAGAAATCGAAACTAAATATGATGAAAAAGGTGAAAAGTCAAGAAACGATTTGCGAGTATGTTTAATATTCTGTTTACAAAATGTTTCGTATCAAAAACTTAGATGCAACTTTTATCGTCTGAGTGATATACTTACTTATCGAATACAGTAGTGAGGTAGTAATACTATTTGACTATTCAAATGAAACGATTTCTAAAATCGATACTTGAAGACTAATTTAGAAAGGATTCAGGAACCAGATCGTAACCCAAACCCCATTTAAATATGGTAGTAATTAAAAAAGAGCTGTCGAAAACTAACCTGAACAAATGGATCATTTGATGCCTGAAGCAGTGCGACCACATTATCGTTGAGAGGATCCATATTTTTCATTAGCCATTGATTTGAATTATATTCAACTCGACCAGCATAGTGAATAACACCGAAATCAGCATTAGATCGAAATTCAGTTTTACACAGTTTTGGATGTTTATCCTGAGATTTGATGAGTTTCTCAACAAACGACTTGTCAGTTCCCTTAGGGAAGAAGCATTCTTCATCCAACAAGGCGAAGATACCCATAGGCTAAAGTTAGAAAGAAACAGGACTTCTGATCATTGTGGTTAAGACATAAATAATAGTTTACTCATCTGGATTTAAGAAGAGGCTCAGCATATCCCAAAAGTAGTAGTAGTTATATTAGGTATTGTATAAATGCAGGATAATTTAATTGCGTAGCTCGCCAGCTATGGTTATCAGTAAAAGAATTGATTCATTTTACCTTGTTGTCTGGTACAGGGACTAATGGGGAAAGTAGGTCAAGACAAGAGGAGGACTTTGTTCATTATCGCTGTCAATGGTGATTCTATGAGAAATTTCAATTAGGGAATCATTTGGTGATCTTGAAAATTGGTGATTAGAGATAACAGTTTTTGAGATCATGTGAGTTTTTCTTACCATAAGTGAAATGTCACCAAACCATAACTAAAAGGGATTTTTCAGTAGGTTCTAGTTAGATTTTTTGATGGAAACGAAGGAGTTTATGATAGGAGTCGTTTTGAAACTGAGTGTCCAGATTTTTTCCATGAATATGTTCTAGATCTCTTTTCATCCTTTAACTTATAGTTGGGACCCTATACTGATGAATTATAGAAGTTAAGGGGACCAAGTATCAGTCCGCCAAAATTTTTCTCACAGTTGTTAGGTATAGTTGAAGAGAAAGAATCCATCCAAAACAAATAAATGGAAGAGGACAGAAACTAATTTTGAAGCAATAAATCATGGGAGAATTATATAAACAAGTCATTTGCCTATTATTATTTATCCTACAAGATTTAATCTATAGCATTATGGTCAGGAAAAGCTTTAGTCCAATGATCTAAATAATATAGCCAACCATGCAAATTCAATGACAAGTGGCACCTCATTTCCCGCTGACATGACTGCTTAAACAGGGAAGAAATCTGAAACATTTTAAGTAGCAATAATTCATGAATTTCTGTAAATGTTTAATGGTTGCTATTAGTTGGCAAGAAACCTTGGACCTATGCTTCAAACCAACGGACACTCATTAACAAGTATTGCCTAGAATCTTCATGGAACTGATGCTTTCCGTAGAATTCGAACTCACAACACTCAGTTCACAGTCTGACGTCACTACTGAGTTACTTAGGCAAAAACTGACGTCATGAGACTGTTGGGAAGATCCAGTAAGCTCCTAGAAGAAAGCCAAGAAAGGCTCTAAAAACACTGATAGGCATCTTATCCAATCAGCGTTCACTAGAAGTTGTGCCAAATATCAAGAAAGTGAAAAGTCACATGTAGTTTCTGATTGGATGATTACTTATACTGCTACTGTGTTTAGTAGCATTTCAGAATTTTCGGGAAACCCAAGGACATCTAAAACACTATAAAAACCCTATATTTTATGTACATAGACGAACCTTTAGAGTGAAGTTTCTTACATATTTCGCGCCTTTTCTCGTGTTCAAGTCACTGTGTTAATCTAACCTGGGGGTTACTAGAAGAGCTTAGGAACCAAATCTAGCGTTCAATTAGCAAGACTTATCAAAGACTGAAATAATATTTACAACTGATTGACCATCAAGTACTGATCAATTTCAAGTTTATGTAGTCAGATAGCAGTTAACGTGTTATATCGATCTATTGCTGTATATGTTTATAATTATCTTTAGCAAGGAAAACTGCCAATTGTTAGTCTTTAGTATTTATGTGAAAATTCCTCACACATTCTTAATGTAAATTAAAACCTATGGTAACCCATCAAATCTAAATGGAGTAGGTTGTACATGTTTTAGAAGAAAAATATACAGAAAAATCTATGTTGATTCTTTGTTATCAACGTTGAATAAGTGTGATATTTAATATATGCGTCAACCATGGAATGAGGAGTTAAGTAGGTATAAATCCATTCATGCGTTAAATCGAATGAACAGAGATTTATGGTGCAAAACGTTCATACGATAATGAACAGTTACCGGTACAAAATCAATTACCGCGAACTGTCTGGGTAATTTGAATTGTTCAACTTACTCGTTCAATTAGATCGATTGTCGGTTGCAAATCAAGTCCAAAGTCTATAAATTCCCATGGTATGCCTTCACGAGTATACTCATCTTGTTCTAAGATAAACATTGTATGGTTAAAAAGTTGTTGAAGTTTCTCATTCGTATAATTAATGCATAGCTGTTCAAAAGAATTCACCTGTGAAAAAAAATTCAAACCAATAAATTGTCACAACTCTACTTATTTATCACAATGAACAAGAGCGGTTAGACAAAAATAAAGTATTTTAGCAGAAACAAACTTTAAAAATTGATGCGACATCTGTATTTTGAAATTCTCTGAAAATTTACTACGTACGTGAACCGACTACCAGTACGAGCTGAAGATGCATGCAGTTGTAGAATAATCAGTTAGTTGGGGCAATGTGAGAGTATGGCACAAAAGAGTATCACCTAATCATTTCATTATTCTTAACAACACGACGAAAGGTTAATGGTGTTCGGGCACAGAGATGATAATGCAATCGATGTCACCATCTTGAAACACCGACTTCGGTGGCTTAGACATGTTCTACGAATGTCGTCCCAGAGAATTCCACGTCGTGCATTATTTGCCGACTCTGGGACTGGTCGGAAGAAGCGGAGAGGTGGTCAGTGCATGACATGGTGTCGTGGTATGAAAGAAAGCTGCAAAGGACTGGCTTCTGTAGGTCCTTCACGACTCCCTGGTTGGGGTCCGAGAGATGGTGCTACACAGTAGCTAGAGACGTTATCAGATATGGCTCAGAATAGAAGCCAGTGGCGATCCTGCTGTAACCTTCTTTTACTTTCTTCATAAAAAGTGGTTGTGTCTCCCTTAACTGAAAGATTTCTTCTGACTATGCCTTTCCCTTCCCTCATTATTACTATTCTTATTACTAAACTACCTTACACCAACCTCTTCGTTACTGTTCTTTTTTTCACGCTCCTTACCTTTTTTTCTCTTCGAATTCTCATTGTTTTGTGTGGCGCATATATATTGGCGCTCTCTTGTACCAATACCTGTGTTCAAATAAATAAAACTATGACATCGATCTCAATCTTTTTTATTAAATGAAGACAGTCTTCTATGTAGTGCTTTAAGACTACAAGTGTCAGTGTAGATACATTTATCTTATTATAATTGGTAGATAGCTTATTACGCCTTACCCTATAACATTCATCTTAACGGATTTTTCAGGTCCTACTGCCAATTAAGCTGTCTTCACTTACATTAATCCTTTTACCCTGACTACAGCTTGGAGGCAGATATCAAAAGAATGAATAGTAATTGGAAAAAACTAGTTAGTTGGAGAATCTTGGTCGGCAGCCTGTGCTCAATGAGGGGTAACAGGCGTAAGCAAACAGCTTGCGGTATGATATGGACGATGTATCAACCTGGATCGATGTTATGGTTCCAATTCCTAAGTTATTTATATATGTGTCTCTCTATAAATAATTGGTCCAGATAGATAACTCAAGTACTTCAAAGTACAAAAGGCACGGAGATAATACCAAACTGTTACAAAATATCAACGCACTTGGAAGATTTCGAAACCAGCTATATCGAGAATCCCGACAAATGATGCACCCGGTCGTCTAGTTTTGTCAAGTGTTTTATTTATTCGTGCGACTAACCAAAGAAAGAGCCTTTCGTAAATAGATTTTGAAATCGCTTCAACAGCGAATTCCACTTGCATCTTGGTTTGAGCTTTTGACACCAGATCTTTCCCAACTTTGATGCGCGGTTTCAAAAACGCTTTGACCATTTCATTCAGAGGGATACCCAGAAGATGGGATACCTTTTCAGCGACTAGGAAAGGTATTAAGGTACGTGTTAATTGTTATACGAATAAAACATTGGGGTAGATTAAGATTTTACAACTGTAAAGTATGGTAATAAATTGAAATCGTTACTATTGATAAATTCCAAAAAAGAAATCGGATATCATAAACATCTGATAACATTCGGCTTCTATAATAATATCAGCTGAAAAGAATAAAGTAATTCCACTAAAAACTTTTAGAGTGCTCAATTGCTACTTCCAGAGCTTATGTTTGCAGTGGTACAATTATGATCTAATTGTAAACTGGCATCTAAAATTATTTACCCTATTTATAGCAAATGGTCAAGAGTTAACCTGTGAACAAAAACTTTGAAGTATCGTTTACAACTGCTGAACAGAAACCACGAATAAATAAATACACATTTTTTTAGATCAGTTATTATTCTAGGACTTTGATGGACATTATTTAACGTATTCGAATTTCAGAAGATGGTTCGCAGTAAGCTCTAACCTGACTAATAGTATTCGGGCAAAAAGAATCCAGTAGGTTAGTGTGCTTTATTAGCACGAATTCCAATTACAGGAACTCCCATAAAACCTGTTAATTAATGTGGTAGCATGCCGACTGAAATCAAGAGATATAGCCACAATCAGAAAGTGGGATAAGTATATCTATATTTCGAATCCTGGCCAAAAGATAGATGATTCGGTCAACTCAATAGCTCCGGGCGTTATCACACAGGGGTCAAAACAGAAGCCGATGGGATTTTGCCGCAGTTATCCTTTACAATCTCCATAAATATGAGAGGAACTTCTTTAACTGAAAGAACTATTCTTGGTTGCATTTTTCAAACCGAATTGTATTGTTAACTGGTGTTCATCTTATCATACACTGCTTTGTCAACGATTTTCTTCGTTTTTCTACAAATTTACTAAATTTTCTTTGTGATGCTATACACATACTTTGTGTGCTTAGATTATAATCGGAATGATAATCCGGTCAATATATTAATACCAAGGGCTGACGCCTGTGATATCGTGTTAAAATACGAACGTAATTAACATATAAGTGATGTATGAAACTATGATACTTAATAACAGTATGTACTTAATGCTATTAAAAATGCTGGTGAAATATTTTAGCGAAATTGCTGTGTACCACATCAGTAATCGTAACATGAAAAAAATTGTGATTTGGTATGGTGTAATATCTGATTCAATAAAGTATTAATCACTTCAATGTTAATGAACATGTTTCATTTGAAGATATTTATGATCACAAACTGATAGCCGTGACTAAAAAAACCGTAAACCTTGTCTTTACGTACTTTAAGCCATTTTGAGCAACATTATGTACACGAAACTGAAATATGAATATTAACCCATGGAATATGACGTGAGTATGGATATCAAGCAGTGAATCAAAAGTCGATAAACACTATACAACTAACCAAGTGTAATAGAGCATAACGAATTTCCAAACACTAACCTGAATGATCTGGTAAAGTTGCTTGATCAGAACTTCGTTCCTGACGAAATTCTAAGTTTCCTAGATGAAGCACAGCAGATATCACGCGGAATATGGCTAAAATAACAAATTATAAGAAGGATAAAGTATTTGACAACCACTGAATTTGGAAGGTGTAAAGTAAATAAGTTTACTCGACAAGATATCAACATTTTATTTGCAGAAACAAGTAGGATATCTAAGTTAACTACATTAAACGTACCATTTTGGTCCTCGTTATTAATTCCCATTATATCCATGGCTTCGGTTGTTTCACGGAAAAATTGTTGCTCATCGATCCCCGGGAGTTCGATCATACCATTTGAAAGGAAACGATAAGCACTAGCATGATTTAATAATAGTTGTTGTTGCATTGCTGGAGTAGCTGATGCCAAAAGCTGATAAAATATGTGGAAGCTGCGTTCATCCACTGCCTGACGAATAACACGAGCTTTCTCTAAAAGATCTACACTACGATAAGGAATTAACAATCTCCGCATATGACTTTAAAATAAAAATTAAAAAAGCAGTCAAATATGAAGATGGCACCAGTTAATGAAACGAAGTAACCTCATGCAGGTTCAAAAAGATAACATAGATATGTGGTTCATAACTCAAGATGATTGCTTGGAATAAATTCTAATGACACAAATATACTCATTTTTTTTATCCCTCAAACCTAGAGTCTTTAGTGATTGTCGTCTAATTTTTTTCTTTGATTCATATATTTTTTAACTACTTATATATTCTATCAATGTTGATTTCTTTGTTATTCTTAAGTGCAAAAACATGAAATGCTGAATCTTGTTCAATGGTCAGAGAGGATATGTGTTTTGTTAGACTACATATAAATACAAGTAATGCATAATTTCTGTGATTTGGATGTCAGGAGCTCAAGATATATGGGGGATTATTTGGATTATGTAGGGGTCTGAATGAAGGTGCAACCTCAAGGCAAACATGTGTTTAAATTGATTTATTATGTGTACCATAACACTTAAATTAAAACACAAGTTCCAAATTTATAATACATTATTTAATTGACCGAATGGAAAAAAACTTAAAAGCAAAAGCTGTATGTACACAAGAACCAATCATAAAAGGGATACATGTTTCAATATTAGCTCCAGCAATGAATCCAGATGTGTCAAAATTAATACGAATAAATTTACCCTACAAAAAGAAATTATTAGTTATTTATTTAAATATCAGATGGAAAATGACTACAACATAACTTGTAGCATAGAAGTCATTGAGATACTTGTCGAACACTTGTAGTGGTAACATTAAGATGATTTTCTTGCACTTACTGTAACCCAGTAAACTAATAAACACGAAAATTCAGTCACAACGTAAAACCTGTCATGTATGTACGTCAATTCAAGATGCCATACTCCATCAGCAGAGGTGAAACTGTCAGGCCAAACCTCACAACAGTAGAGGTAGTAACAGTATGAATGACAGTAGAATAAATTAATAAAACAGAAACACAAAAAACGCTATGAAGAATTTAGAATCTCAATATTTGGGGGAAGACAAATAATAGATGCATATGAGCTATTCCAAGCTACTTTGAGTCATGTCATTTAAGATCTCTAACCATTGGTTACGATAATCACGCAGGCCTCAACCAGGTAGTTTACACCTATTAACATGGGTCACTCCAACTGTCGATGATTTCATATCATATCTTGGCTTGGCCGCCCCTAGCCTTCTTATAGTTTACTTCCACATCAGACACTGCCCGTCGAGAAAGGTGATGGTTAGGAATAAGTGACATGTCCCAAAAACCTCAGTAGATGAAGATTCACTACTTAATCAATTGAAATGCTATCCTTACCTAGTACTTTATTTCTAACCCAGGTATTTCTTAATCAGTGGTTCAGGCACGAAGACTTCCTATCTACGAATAGGTCAAATTCTGTTTATCTCACCTAAAAGTATTTTATTAAATTACTTGAACTAATGAGCTAGCTAATTTATAAGAAAGGCTTGGATAATCAGCAATTCAGGATTTTTACTACTCATGTTTTGTCAAACGATATATAGTAGGTTTTGTGTTGATGGGACTAAGTTCACCGTGCAAACATTTTCCTCTTGGAGAAGCATTAGATCGAAAGTACGGGGCGATTGGTAAATGAATAGGAGTGTAAAACAAGAATTCGACAGACCACAAAAAAGTGTGCATAACAAACAGTGGAGCGATAACGAGAACTGGTTGCATGTCAGCGAGTGAGATCGTTCAACATTTGGAAAATACAATCATTTATAACTAAAATATTAAGCGTAATAATTATATACGTTGATTTATAATAGTGGCTTTACAACACAAGACAAAATCCTAAAATCATGTGCGGTTTCTGGCCAGTTGATAATGTTTGTTTTGAAGAAATGATTCACTTACAAAACGTGAAGAATTATCATTTTTAATTGTTTTGGCATTTCCAAACGCTTCAAGAATGGGATTTGCTTTCAAAAGTTGTGCTTCAAGTTCACCCTGTAAGATGAAAACAACGTATAAAAGTGAGATGAAATGTAAACAGGTATCAAACACCATAACCTTCACCAATAAAAAATTAAATAACAGGTTTATGTTAATGACCAGTAATCATTGTGACACGGATACTCAAAAATCATTTTGAAAAAAAAGAACCTTTAAGGATCACCATTCATCATAAACGGTAAAATCAAGTGCATAAGGAATTTGTGACTCATCGTGTACATAAAGCAACGGTAAACTTACAATACTGAAATCTTTCGTCTGAAAATTAAATTAAAAGCCAGATTAAAATAATACTATCGAGTTTTGAACAGGGCCTAATCACATTATTAATTGTAACTCATTATTCAGTTGTAAATCATGTAACAGAATTGCCGGTAAATTAAGCATTGGATATTGAGTAAAACTATGCAACATTACAGTTCAGAAACCGAGGAACATGTTGAAAACCATATTGATGGCGGTAATAATATAATTATATTGTCATTATAAACTTTCTACCCAGTATCAATTTATTAGAAACTACTATTCCTAACCTTGGTGTTGATATTGATGAACAAAGGTGTTCTTGTTACCTAGTAATATCTATGTGTTTACTCAATTAAGTTGTAACGTAAGCTTTGAATTTTACGTTGCTCTTCCCAGTTACGGAATAATAGATTAATAGACGCTCATATGAGACAAAATTTTGTGGTTGAGGGTTATACAAGTCGCATGAACATATAAATCTAAATGTCTAGAGTTTAGCAAACGATCTGGGTGCTCAAAAATAACTATAACCGCATGCAAATCAAACCATGGAATGGTGACAAATTATCTCTTTTATTACACACATCGGCTGAGATTTCAATTACATAAAATTAGGGAACAGAAAAGGCAAATAAGATATGAGATATGACGAAAAACTGGTCCACATGTTTTGAAAATAGAAATTTAAGAGCAAATTAATCGCTAAGAAGACCGAATACCTAGTACAGAAACACACTTCTATTAGATCAGTTGGTAGATAAGCCTATACGAAATAACTTATTATCATGTTTATAAAGCATGTGTCCAAATATCAAATTTGTCAGGATAGGTTGAAAAAGTACTTACGTTAAACTTTGACATTACATTTTTGGCTGATGTTTTCTGATGTTTTGCAGACGTGGCAACACATGCGAGGTATTGTATTACCTTCTTCGTATTTTCGGTCTTTCCAGATCCTGATTCACCGCTACAAGATCCGGTAAAAGTGAACAACACACTTACGTGCACAAAATCGACTGATCCTCACGGTCTGTAACACATATAACTCAAATTACACATGATTACCTTGAAGCATGCTACGGTAAGCTCCATCAGCAATAGCGAATATATGTGGTGGTCTTTCATGGCGCTTCTTTCCTTTATACCACTCTACTATATCTTCGTCATAGATCGGTAATCGTTTGTATGGGTTAACAACCACACAAAACAATCCGGAGTACGTCTATATTGTTATAAGAAACAATTCAATGACTTACATAGATCATTCCTGAATAATATCTCGTCTTCAAGTTATTTAAAACTGATGCTTCATTCATAAACGATAGGTTTGCCATGTCCTTTATCTTGTCGTATTTTGCAGGGTTCATTCTTTGAACGTAATCCTTAGGAAACGTACATTTCTTTCCTGATTCTACGAGCTGTACTACAACGTTTTCTCCTTGTTCTTGAAGCTTAATAGCAGCGACAAATGCTTCTCGTTCATGAGGAACCCACACCATATCCTTAGAAGATAAATCTGCCTCCCGCAAAGGCTCTTTCTCATCACGGAGAAGTTCTGCATTCATCGGACTATAAGATACTCTTTTATTATCACCCATAATTCTAAAACATCGACTAGTTTATACAATGCTTCCGTATGTACAAAACCAGATGTCCCGCTCGCGCTTTTGACTCAAAAGTACAGTAACATAAATTTTACTGACGTTGACTCAATAAAACAAAATCAGTCTTAAATGTTTATGAACAAAATTATTTGCTCAGTTGCGATGTATACTCAATGATTGTGGATAGATATTCGAGTATTCCGACTGCATCTACGCTAACTACGTGGATAGATAGATTCAGATTTGTGTAGTAAGAACAAAAGGCCTACGGCCTATGTTATTCCTCTCCTAGTATGCTTCTGTGAGTGTACAGTCTTCTCTTAAAAGAGTCAATTAAAGGTACGGACACCACTGCTTCAGGCAGCAGGTTCCAAGTATTGATGACTTGGTGTGAAAACCTGTATGCCACGGGTATTTTGTTCGTTCTTGGCTTTTCTACTCGCCTGCTATGTCCTCTGAGATGTCCCGATCTAGCGGGAACAAAAAGAGAGAATAAGTTAGGTCCAAAATCATTTCTCAGTATTCTGTACATCAAAGTTAGATATCCCCTTAACCTACGATTGGACAGAGTAAAGAGATCCAGCTTTTCAAGCCACACTTTGTATGGTAAACGCCGGAGTTCTGGAATTGCACAGGCAGCCCTCTGTACTTTTTCTAGTATGTCCGAGTCACCTTTTAAGCAGAGGCTTGCAGCCTGAACGCAGTTCTCCAGCTTAGTTCTCACTGAGGATGTGTATACTGTTGTGAACATGATAGTATATAACTTAGTGAATATCCTTTTTAAAGCCCAGAGGGTTCGAAACCCCTTGGCTGCGACCTCCCGACAATGGGCCATCGTCTTAAGATCATTACTCACTGTCACCCCTAGATCCTTATGAGACCGAACTACGGGTAATGACACATCCCCTATGTTTTACGTAATAGCCTATGAATCCCCCAAGTGCATGTAGACACACTTTTCCACGTTGATAGGCATCAGCCACTCTTTAGACCAGTTTATCATATTATATAAGTCTGCCTGAAGAGTAAATGCGTCTTTGTCTACAGTTACTACTCGTCAAATTTTTACATCGTCAGTTTATAACATTGGAGACTGTACTATACTTATAAGATCATTAACGTATATTATAAAAAGTAAAGGACTTAGGACGGAACCTTGGGGTACTCCACTAAGTACTGGTCTCCAGATGGAGCACTTGGAATTTATTCATACTTTTTGTCTACGACCTACTAGGAAATCTCTAATCCATTTTAAAAGAGGTCCGGCAATACCAAGGTTTTCCAACTTCAATAGCAGTTTATTAGTTGGCACCTTGTCAAAAGCCTTACTGAAATCTATGTAGACAACATCCACTGAGTTTCCGTTGTCTAGCGCATTAATTAAGAACTCCCTAGCTATAAGGAGGTTCGTTGTACAGGGCATACCCTTTATAAAACCATCCTGTGCCATGTTCAGCAAGTAATTGGTTTCCATAAATGCCGTTATGGTCCGTTTGATTATTCTTCCCAGTATTTTAATTACCATACTGTCGAGGCTTACGGGTCTGTAATTCGATGGAACTTGTCGTGGGCCTGTTTTATGTATGGGGGTGACGATTGCGTCCTTCCAGTCCATAGGTTGCACACCTTGGTCAAGAGACATATTGAATATCACAGTCAGTGGGGCCGCGGTAAATTGGGCAATATGTCTCAAGATTTTGGGGGTGTAGTTCATCTGGTCCTGTTGACTTCTCCATGTTCTGGGTGCTAAGAGCCTTAAGCATATCGTTTTGGTCGAAGTCCACGGTGAGTAGCTGGTTTGTTGACTCTGTATTTGGGTCTGGTTCTTCCTCTAGAGGAGGTTCCTGAGTAAAAACTGCCCCAAAATAGTCAGCCATAGTCTCTGCTTTCTGATCTTCCTCTATCATTTCAGATTCACCACCTTCTTTAATTAGTTTGGGAATACAATGTTGCATCCTTGTTCTGTAGTTTATGTACGAGTTCAGTTTTTCTTTATCCACCAATGACCTAAGCTCCGCCATTTTATTTAGTAGGCTGCGAGCATTTGTGTAGCATACCCTCAAGTCTGTGTACAACTTTTCCTTACCAACCAGAGTAGTTTAGGCATCGTTTTGCTCCGAACTTTTACAATTTGGAAATCCTTAAGAACGAAGTTTCTTTCACCGTTTCAGCGACGCTCATTTATTCACATTTCTGCACCTCATCTCTTAATACGATCACCCAGACTGAGATACTCACGAACGTATATTCCGGATCCAATCAGTTTACGTGAGTTACGTAGAATCAGGTTCATTTCTTCAACCGTGGCAAATGTTACTTTCAAGAGGCGGCTTTTCTGAGGACTTTCAGAATCCACCTTTTGTCCTATTCTGTGAAGCTTACAAGTACTAACTCCTGGAACTGTATCTGGGAGTAGTTTACTTATTAAGGACTTAATATGACTGAGATCGTATTCAAATCTAGCCTTCAGTTCTTTATCGGAAGATTCTCTCAACTTATAAAAAATGACTGACCTCTCAGAGAGTTCTGCCTTGACACACAGTAGAGTTTATGATTCTGATACCGTCTCGCCCGATGACTTGAAAACCAGCTGTGTTTTGGTCAAAGCTTTTTTCTTCTCCTTTTTTTTCTCTGTACTAAAGTCCATTTATCACCACTCAGAACAACCACCCAGGGACTATTTGGAACGGTGACAGTTTTATCCGGGTCTTCAATTTCCACAAGACGTGTATGATTACCAATGTCAATATCAATTGGCACTTCACCCCTCGTTAACGTTAGCGGAGATTTCACTTCCCCGTCAATAACAGTCGGGTGTCTTCAATAACAGTCAAACAAATCTGTGGTTCTGCCGGTCAAAGTTGAGATTGATATCGTCAAGTTCCTACACAAAAGTGTGTATTTGACAGCAGGTAGAATATCGAAAAGGCAGCTTGGTGAATTATGTTTAAGTAACACGTCTAATGCACAAGAAAAGTTGAAATTTTTGAGATCTTTTATGGAGCAACTTCGACAACGTCACTTGAAGGAACGTCAGGACTTGAATACTCTAAATGAGTAGGGTAATGACTTCAATCAAACTTTATACACTATTCTATATTGTACCAAAATATAATATTGAATAAAGCCATTAATAATAATAATAATAATAATAATAATAATAATAATAATAAACTATCAAATTATGAGAGGTACCACCAACATTAATGTTGTAACGTATGTATGACTGCAGGTTTTGATAAGCGGCGCATTTATCGATCGATTTGGTGTGTGACGCAAACACGTAATGAACGATCTAGTGTCCTGATTGTCCCTGCTTCCCTGTCTATCCCAGCCAGTTGAGTCCAGAACGAAAGTCACAGCCTCTGAAATATGAATTATTGTATTTCAGACATACTCTATTTATATACTAACCAAACATACCACATCGTACCATAAAAATAGAAAACAACATTTACACAATATTAAACAAGTGAAGTAAATATCGCCCAATAGGGAATGTACATTTAGCGTCCAAGGACAACATTAGACTTAACATGATAACTATTGGTATATTTTTCTGCACATCCTAACAATTAATGTTAAAGATAGGTATCAAACAGTGTTTCACATATTTTACATGCATTTATATAGTTTTATGAGTATTTCAAACAACCTTTTTGAGGTACATGTAGGTCATATTCATTTTGATTTTCGTAGTAGATTTTGAACCAAAAACTACCCAACGATTCGCGTTTCTGTAGTAAATGCTTTTCAATATCATCTATGTAGAGCCGTAATAGAGGATATTATATTGCCATATCCCACTTACTGTTAAATAAAGCCATCTAAATTCAGTCCAAATTCCTTTTTTTAACTACCAAAAGTAGGTATATATGAAGAAGGAGACTAGAAATTTAACATTCGTAACTAAAGGTTATTCACTAATGTGAGGATATGTTCTATTTTGTCATTTCTTTTATTCACAGTGTATGCTGTTCCATCCTCAGTTCCGTTTTGGCTAATTTACGGTTTGTTTAAGCTTTTCGGTACTTTAACTCGGTTAGATTCGCCAAAAAAAGCCATATTTAAATTGTGAATGTTACTGTATGTGAGATTAAGTAAATTCATCCGAGTGTTTTATGGCAGAATAATGGTGAGTTGGCACTTTTACATCATCACGATCTTCTTATCACTAGGTGCCAGCTGATAAATTCAGTGATCATATCTCACTTTCCATCTGATGGATATTGTTTTTCATTGCGATCAATGTAAGACCAAGCACCAGACGTCGTTAATTTCGGTTGGAATATTGTCGACGTTCACATTTTACAAATAACAGCTTCCGTTTTGAGCTCGCCCAGTTCTAGAAGGCGGTCTGTCTTCAAAATATTTGTCTTCAAGAAATGCTGTCGTAACCTAGGTCATTCAGGAGCAAATTTACATAGAAGCAAGAGCGGTTATCAAGCGATTCATGGCAAAGATTGGTGACACATGTTTAGAAAAAAAGCACAATTATCCTAGAAATGACGCTAAGGTGAAGAAAAAAGTATTAACAGAGTTTCATCATTCAGGTGTGAAATTTAACCGAAAGAAAACCAAACATCTTCACTGCCTCAAAAATAATGCACGCATAATACAAGCATTTTGAAAAGAACATTTCGGTATTTGCAACAACTCACTTCCCGGATTTGATATGCCAATTACAGCAATCAATCCATCTAGCAGCTGCATATGAAGTTGATCATCAAACTTACACTTGACAGGCTTGCTTCTGAAATTTATGGATAAATTCTCCAGCATATTAGTTGACCTGAGGAATCGTTTTCTGAAATGTTGCCCCTTCACGACGTTCGAAACTAGTACCTTACATGATTTAGTCGTTGTTTGAGAGTTGTGTGGATAAGTGAAAAAGGCTTATCTGGGAGTGTCAAAGAGTTTATTATTATTATTAATATTAATGGCTTTATTCAATGTAATATTTTGGTACAATATAGAATTCTCAGCTCAGAGTA